GATCGAAACCAAAAATACTTTAAATTGCATTTTAAAACATATCTAGGTATTATAAATGATAAAGAATGCTAATATAGATATAAAATCAATAAGTTTTTTGAAAATAGCCTACTATGATCGAAACCAAAAATACTTTAAATTGCATTTTAAAACATATCTAGGTATTATAAATGATAAATAATGCTAATAAAGATATAAAATCAATAAGTTTTTTGAAAATAGCCTACTATGATCGAAACCAAAAATACTTTAAATTGCATTTTAAAACATATCTAGGTATTATAAATGATAAAGAATGCTAATATAGATATAAAATCAATATGTTTTTTGAAAATAGCCTACTATGATCGAAACCAAAAATACTTTAAATTGCATTTTAAAACATATCTAGGTATTATAAATGATAAATAATGCTAATATAGATATAAAATCAATAAGTTTTTTGAAAATAGCCTACTATGATCGAAACCAAAAATACTTTAAATTGCATTTTAAAACATATCTAGGTATTATAAATGATAAATAATGCTAATATAGATATAAAATCAATAAGTTTTTTGAAAATAGCCTACTATGATCGAAACCAAAAATACTTTAAATTGCGTTTTAAAACATATCTAGGTATTATAAATGATAAAGAATGATAATATAGATATTAAATCAATAAGTTTTTTGAAAATAGCCTACTATGATCGAAACCAAAAATACTTTAAATTGCATTTTAAAATAAATCTAGGTATTATAAATGATAAATAATGCTAATATAGATATAAAATCAATAAGTTTTTTGAAAATAGCCTACTATGATCGAAACCAAAAATACTTTAAATTGCATTTTAAAACATATCTAGGTATTATAAATGATAAAGAATGATAATATAGATATAAAATCAATATGTTTTTTGAAAAAAGCCTACTATGATCGAAACCAAAAATACTTTAAATTGCATTTTAAAACATATCTAGGTATTATAAATGATAAAGAATGCTAATATAGATATTAAATCAATAAGTTTTTTGAAAATAGCCTACTATGATCGAAACCAAAAATACTTTAAATTGCATTTTAAAATAAATCTAGGTATTATAAATGATAAAGAATGCTAATATAGATATTAAATCAATAAGTTTTTTGAAAATAGCCTACTATGATCGAAACCAAAAATACTTTAAATTGCATTTTAAAATAAATCTAGGTATTATAAATGATAAAGAATGCTAATATAGATATTAAATCAATAAGTTTTTTGAAAATAGCCTACAATGATCGAAACCAAAAATACTTTAAATTGCATTTTAAAATAAATCTAGGTATTATAAATGATAAAGAATGCTAATATAGATATTAAATCAATAAGTTTTTTGAAAATAGCCTACTATGATCGAAACCAAAAATACTTTAAATTGCATTTTAAAATAAATCTAGGTATTATAAATGATAAAGAATGCTAATATAGATATAAAATCAATATGTTTTTTGAAAATAGCCTACTATGATCGAAACCAAAAATACTTTAAATTGCATTTTAAAACATATCTAGGTATTATAAATGATAAATAATGCTAATATAGATATTAAATCAATAAGTTTTTTGAAAATAGCCTACTATGATCGAAACCAAAAATACTTTAAATTGCATTTTAAAACATATCTAGGTATTATAAATGATAAATAATGCTAATATAGATATTAAATCAATAAGTTTTTTGAAAATAGCCTACTATGATCGAAACCAAAAATACTTTAAATTGCATTTTAAAACATATCTAGGTATTATAAATGATAAAAAATTCTAATATAGATATAAATTCAATAAGTTTTTTGAAAATAGCCTACTATGATCGAAACCAAAAATACTTTAAATTGCATTTTAAAACATATCTAGGTATTATAAATGATAAATAATGCTAATATAGATATAAAATCAATAAGTTTTTTGAAAATAGCCTACTATGATCGAAACCAAAAATACTTTAAATTGCGTTTTAAAACATATCTAGGTATTATAAATGATAAAGAATGATAATATAGATATAATGATATAGATAAAGAATGCTAATATAGATATTAAATCAATAAGTTTTTTGAAAATAGCCTACTATGATCGAAACCAAAAATACTTTAAATTGCATTTTAAAATAAATCTAGGTATTATAAATGATAAATAATGCTAATATAGATATAAAATCAATAAGTTTTTTGAAAATAGCCTACTATGATCGAAACCAAAAATACTTTAAATTGCATTTTAAAACATATCTAGGTATTATAAATGATAAAGAATGATAATATAGATATAAAATCAATATGTTTTTTGAAAAAAGCCTACTATGATCGAAACCAAAAATACTTTAAATTGCATTTTAAAACATATCTAGGTATTATAAATGATAAAGAATGCTAATATAGATATTAAATCAATAAGTTTTTTGAAAATAGCCTACTATGATCGAAACCAAAAATACTTTAAATTGCATTTTAAAATAAATCTAGGTATTATAAATGATAAAGAATGCTAATATAGATATTAAATCAATAAGTTTTTTGAAAATAGCCTACTATGATCGAAACCAAAAATACTTTAAATTGCATTTTAAAATAAATCTAGGTATTATAAATGATAAAGAATGCTAATATAGATATTAAATCAATAAGTTTTTTGAAAATAGCCTACTATGATCGAAACCAAAAATACTTTAAATTGCATTTTAAAATAAATCTAGGTATTATAAATGATAAAGAATGCTAATATAGATATTAAATCAATAAGTTTTTTGAAAATAGCCTACTATGATCGAAACCAAAAATACTTTAAATTGCATTTTAAAATAAATCTAGGTATTATAAATGATAAAGAATGCTAATATAGATATAAAATCAATATGTTTTTTGAAAATAGCCTACTATGATCGAAACCAAAAATACTTTAAATTGCATTTTAAAACATATCTAGGTATTATAAATGATAAATAATGCTAATATAGATATTAAATCAATAAGTTTTTTGAAAATAGCCTACTATGATCGAAACCAAAAATACTTTAAATTGCATTTTAAAACATATCTAGGTATTATAAATGATAAATAATGCTAATATAGATATTAAATCAATAAGTTTTTTGAAAATAGCCTACTATGATCGAAACCAAAAATACTTTAAATTGCATTTTAAAACATATCTAGGTATTATAAATGATAAAAAATTCTAATATAGATATAAATTCAATAAGTTTTTTGAAAATAGCCTACTATGATCGAAACCAAAAATACTTTAAATTGCATTTTAAAACATATCTAGGTATTATAAATGATAAAGAATGCTAATATAGATATAAAATCAATATGTTTTTTGAAAATAGCCTACTATGATCAAAACCAAAAATGCTTTAAATTACATTTTAAAACATATCTAGGTATTATAAATGATAAAAAATGCTAATATAGATATAAATTCAATAAGTTTTTTGAAAATAGCCTACTATGATCGAAACCAAAAATACTTTAAATTGCATTTTAAAACATATCTAGGTATTATAAATGATAAAGAATGATAATATAGATATAAAATCAATATGTTTTTTGAAAATAGCCTACTATGATCGAAACCAAAAATACTTTAAATTGCATTTTAAAACATATCTAGGTATTATAAATGATAAAGAATGCTAATATAGATATAAAATCAATATGTTTTTTGAAAATAGCCTACTATGATCAAAACCAAAAATGCTTTAAATTACATTTTAAAACATATCTAGGTATTATAAATGATAAAGAATGCTAATATAGATATAAAATCAATATGTTTTTTGAAAATAGCCTACTATGATCAAAACCAGGTATTTTAAATGATAAAGAATGCTAATATAGATATAAAATCAATAAGTTTTTTGAAAATAGCCTACTATGATCGAAACCAAAAATACTTTAAATTGCATTTTAAAACATATCTAGGTATTATAAATGATAAAGAATGCTAATATAGATATAAAATCAATATGTTTTTTGAAAATAGCCTACTATGATCAAAACCAAAAATGCTTTAAATTACATTTTAAAACATATCTAGGTATTATAAATGATAAAGAATGCTAATATAGATATAAAATCAATAAGTTTTTTGAAAATAGCCTACTATGATCGAAACCAAAAATACTTTAAATTGCATTTTAAAACATATATAGGTATTATAAATGATAATGAATGCTAATATAGATATAAATTCAATATGTTTTTTGAAAAAAGCCTACTATGATCGAAACCAAAAATACTTTAAATTGCATTTTAAAACATATCTAGATATTATAAATGATAAAGAATATAGATATAAAATCAATATTTTTTTTGAAAAAAGCCTGCTTTGATCGAAACCTAAGATGCTTTAAATTGCATTTAAAAACATATCTAGGTATTATAAATGATAAAGAATGCTAATAAAGATATAAAATCTTTTTTTTTTAAGAGACAAAGTTTTTATTATATTCACACCGTTTTCACGTGTGAATCTATTGGTTTTGTTTGAAAAATCAGTTTTTCGCATTTTGTGAGAAAATGAAGCAAATTTGGTTTTAAATGGTCCCAGAAGAAAAGTTTGTGCCTGAAATTTTACATGATTAGCAAAAAACAAATTTCAAATTAGTTGCAGCATTGCTGAGAAAATCGCAAAATTCGCTTTCTGTAAGCAAGCAAACCAGCAAGCAAGCATGCAAGTTAATGAACAAGAAATCTCAATAACGAGACATCTTAGAGACTTCTTGTTTTTGTGCAAGGTAAAAACAGCCGTTGCTTCAGAAAAAGCGAAAAAATTTCCTTTCTTACACTCGCTAGCTTTATGCCTAGAAACTTATGCTGAGCGAGTTGTTTTTCGTGAAACTAATAATTTACATGCTTTTGCGTGGAAGTTAAATTTTTTTAAATCATGGCTGATTTTTACAAAACATAAACTTCCATGCACATTATTGAGGCTTTAGAAGCACGGAAGTCAATAAGTTTTTTTCATTATTTGTGACTGTTTATTTTCATCTTAGAAAAATGTCTGGAATAAAAAATTTATTGCAACAAGAGTGCTTTAGTGAGGAAGAATATAAAATATTGAGTGTCCTTAGTGTCTGCAAATTAAATGCAAAGAAATCTCGTGCAACTAGTATATTGGTTTTTGTCCAACAAAATGAATCAAATTTCTTATCGATTGTCGAAGTTAAAATTGGAGAAAATAAGGAATTTAAGAAGAAAAGAAGCTGGTTACTGGATGAATTTAAGTCAATAGATGTTAAAACCAATAAGCATGAGTTTGAATTTGTCACAGATGCTCGTTATCAGTTTGCTTCTATATTATTAAATGAGAAACAAAGTTTTTTAACAATGGTTTATAAAGCTATACAAAAAAGTCCACTGATAAATAATAAAGCAATATTTAAAAACATTCCCGAGTCATGGAAAGTAGATGACGATTTCGTTGTTGACATTCAATCCAGTAAAAAGCAACAGAATGATGAAATTAGTTCAGCTATAGAATTTGATGAGCATAAAGAGCTTTCGGAACTGGAAGTTTTGTTGGAAACTGACAGTCAAAAATGGCTAGGAAAAGATTCTAATTCAGTGATCAGTAAGTTGCTAATTCATTATTAACCAAATTAAATGCTATAATGCACAATTGTCTGTTTGTAGGAAATGCTGATAAATTTATAGAGTATTTGACATCAAACTTGATAGAATTAGATGGTGCAAATGTTGAAAGTATTCTCACATCAAAAGCAGAAGAAAAAGTTATATCATTAATTCAGATAATTGATTCAGCTATAGACGAAGTTGAATGTGTCGAGAGAACATTAAATGAGTATGAAGAAATTATGTCCCTAATCAGAGAATCAATGGAAAAGATGGGAGAAAAGAATTCCATGATTGAGATTGCAAATAAAAATAATTTAAAGCTTCTTCAAGAGCTTGAAAAGCTCATAAGTCAATTAGATATTGGACATATTCATCAGCTCGCTCTTACGGAAACTGATTTGACGACAATAAAAGGGATTCAAGCTGCAAAAGATTCAGGAAAGGTTCTTCTCAATGCAATCTCTGCAGACATTGATCCAGCACTTATTCGTCTAAGTGCTGTTCAAGATCAGAGGAAAAGATTTGATAAATGGAAATCCAAATTTTGCAGTACAATCACAAGACACTTGAATAATTTATTTATTCATTTGGGCAACGATTTAGGAGAGCATCAAGCATCAACCGTTGAAATTAAATTATCCAAACATAATCATCATAAAGAATTGAGTCCTTATCAAGAATTGATGCATTTACTAAAAGTAATGGATATGAGTTCATATGACGCATTGTCAAAAGTATATACAGGCTCATTAAGTAAAGTTTATGAGAGAGATTTAAGACAATTCTTTGAGCAAGCAAAGTATAATGTTACAAAAAATCACATAAATGATGAATTAAATGTGTCGACATCAAGCAAAACTAAAGTGCAAATTGTCAAAGTACCAGTATATGGAATACTTGGAATACCTAAAGAGCAATGGTCTTTAATATTAGTAGACACTAATGAAAGGAAAAGATTTGATGGAATATTAGAAAAAGTTCTAACCGAAATCGATCCTGTGGCTTTAAATGAACAAATTTTTTGCATTAATTTCTTCCAACTTGATGCGTTAAGTCCCACTTTAAATGTTAAAAGCTTGCCATTTGCAGTAACAACGCCCAATAAAGAGACAACTCCATCACTACAACCCAGGAAAATTAATGACGAAGTCAGAAAGATGATGGGAGAATTGTTTGGTATTTTGGAAAGTGAACTACTCAGCTTTATCTTAAATTACGAAAAACTAGATCCTTTGTAAGATAATTTAAAATTTATTCAATGAACTTTTATATAATTTACTTCATTTACATTTTTTGTAGTTACTCTTTGTACGTTTTTGTTCGTTTAAATCAGCACGTCATGACTGCACAAGATGCTCAATCCTTCTTGAGTATGACCTATGCTTCCGTTCTCGTTCAAGTGAAGAGAAACTTTGATAAGTTTATGCAACTTCAATTACAATCCATTCAAGAAGCGAAAGTTCCCAAAAGAAGTAAATGTGGATTGTTATGTTTTGTAGAAAATTTTGAGGAATTTGCTGCTCTTATCGAAGGTATTTTCAGGAAAAGTGAAAGACGAACTGATTTAGATAAGTGGTATGTCAAAATTGTTGACGCTATATTTCAAGGTAAGTTTAAATTATTATTCTTCATATCTATTTTTTTTTAATTTTTTTTTTAAATATCCAGCTATTAATCAACTTTCATTGGAGCATTCAAAAACACCATCACAAGTTGTTAAAATGGAAAATTATCATCATATGCATTCTCAATTAGCACGTCTTAAAGTCACTCCATTAGAAAATTTAAAAAAGGAAGCGAAATACCGATATAATGAAGCTCTAAGAGCATACGTCATTAAATATTTCGGTAGACCTTTAGAGAAATTAAACGTAAGTCATAGAATTTCATGCTCCCTGACTTTTTAATTATTATGTGTCATTTTTCATTAGCAATTTTTCGATGGCGTTCAAAATAAAGTATCACAAGGGATCAAAGAATCTGAAATAAGTTATCAATTAGCCTTTTCAAAGCAAGAATTGCGGAAAGTTATAGCTCAGTATCCTCAACGAGAAGTTAAGAAAGGCTTAGAAAATCTATATAAAAAGGTAGAGAAGCATCTTTGCGAGGAAGAGAATTTACTTCAAGTTGTTTGGAGAGCAATGCAAGAAGAATTTTTGGCACAACTTTCACAATATGAAGAGTTTGTTGCTAGATGTTATCCAGGCTCAATGATTGCATTAGATTTTACAATTGATGAAATACTAAGCTTCTTCTCAGAAATTGCAAGATCGCATTAAAACTATATATACACACTCACAAATTTATCGCTATTAATTAAAAGTTATACTTTACTAATGTCTAAAGAGGAAAAAATGTAAAATAAAAACAAGACTATTTAATGATCCATTATACTTTCACTTTTATTCCGTAATTTTAATTCTATAATTTTTTTTTTATTCCGCCAATCAGGAAGGACTGCTGCTAAAATTTCTGTTTGCCAATTAAACTTTTTTGAATTATGGTTCATTATGTATAAAAGGTATATAAATTTGACAAAAAAATAAATATATCAATCAATACATGTAAGTAGCTTTGCTTTGAGGTACAAACAGAATCAAATCACAAAATATAGATTCGTTTTATACTTTTAAATGCAGTTTATGGATTGTTTAAATGTTGTATCCTGAGGTCGGCAGAAGTTTATGAAATTTTTACTTGCAGCTTATTCGTATGTGTCTGGTGGTGAGAAGTTCAACGACATGACATCAGTTTGAGTGCACTAAAAATAATTGAAAAGAATTTTGAATCATGTGCTTATTTTGAAAATAAATTATTGGATTCTTACGGCATATAATCCTGATACAACTGAAATAATTCCAGCAGCCAAAATTGTATTATATCTGCGTTGGTTTGCTGCATGTCTTGCAAAGAAATCACCTTGTGGAACTGGCAAGTCGTTCATTGTTGCTACTGGATGACGACGTCCATGGCTTGCCATAGTTCTCTTTGACAATGCTAAAAAGAAATACGTGATCTTTAATCTTTATTTCTATACTTTTTTTGCTGTCTATATATTGGTTATGCAATCAATAATTTTCTTTCAAAAATTTCTTAATTCTACATTCTTAATATTAAGGAAAATAGCTAGAAATAACAATATCTTTGATCATTAATGCACCAATAGAAGATTAATTATATAACAATGCTTATTACAGCAATATAATTAAATTGAGTTCTATTACGAATGAAGCGATAATATTCACTCAATTTAATTAAAAAGGCTTAAAAACCAACATATCTCTTTATTATCTGATGAGGACTTACCATTTCTTAAGATCAAACGGACCAATAATCGTTCTGAATTCATTTTCAATTAATTTTTATAATTTTTATAATTTTCAAAAAAATTCAAAAAATTATTTCAATATGCCTGCTGAATATAAAAAAATGGGTGCGTTCATAATTTACCTATCATAAATCCATAAGGTATTTGAAAATCTGGAAATCGTTATTAAAAAAAAACACGCGTGGAAGTTGAAAAATAATGCCCCACATTAAGCATTATTATAAATACAAACTGCAGTTTAAGATGTTCAAAACAGTTCGAAATATTCAATGTTTTTGTGAATATATGTTTTTTAAAATGAATTCAGATTTAAAATCTAGGTTTGACATTTAAACTTTTTTCCAATCATATTCTTTAATTTTTTTCTTATCAATCTTTCCAAACCTTTTATACTTCACTTTTAAATCTTGTGTTATTTTGAAAAGATATAATTTTGTAGCAAGAATTTTTTTTGTTTTTAAACTAGTGTATCGGGTAGAAACCCAATGTGGGCATATTCACAACGTACCATCGAAAGTCTTGTGGTTAGACCAAGCTTTGCGCAGCATTCATTTAAAGGTTAACGGATAGCATATGTTTATAGGTTTAAAGCTTGACAGATTAGCTTGCTTTCTTTGAAGCAACGGATATTCCTACCTTGCCTAAAATCAATACAGCTTTTCTATAGGGTAACAAGGATCTAATGCAAACCAGAATATTTTCAAACCAGAATTTGACGATATACATTTAAATGTAAAGGTAGTCTGTAAATAATTTGGATTAATGATGTTTAATAAAATGACATAGTTTTCAAAATTAATATAATATAGTTTAAAACTTTATTTTAAGAAAAAATGAACATGTACAAAGCATATAATTCAATGGTGTTTATTTTCAAAAAAGGAATGCTCATTTTTAAATCATTTCTTAAATCAGCTTATTATAACAAACATTGTAACATTGAAATAAGTTTAATTTCATTTATTTTGGTGACATTAATTTATCTTTTTGTGGTTTACATTCGCTATCATTCAATCTTTTTTATTTCCTTAATATATTTATTTAAAATTTCTAGGTAATCCACGTGATCGAAGAAAATATATAAAAATTATTTTCCATTGATCATTCAATTAAAAAATATGATTATTCAGAGATAAACATTTGTATATAATATATATGTTTAATAATTTTTTTTTATTACTGAAACAGCCAGTTATATTTTTTCATCATTTTCTTCTAATCTTTTTTTTTTTTTGTTTGTTTAAAAACTAATGTAGATTTCGGATCATTTAGAAAAAGATTCAACATTATACACATATTTGTTTCTAGTTATTCTCAGTCGACTTTAGTATATAATTACTATTATATTTTCTATTTATATTTCCGTTATTATAAATTCGCACATATTCAGCTAGCAAAACGTGCATTTATGTTTCGATTATTTTCCTTTCAATATCAATACTTTTGGAATCACTCTTTGAGAAACAATTTTGGAAAAACGATGAAATGATTTCGGTGAGTGGGACTTTATACTAGATCGATCTACTATTTAGCCACATGAATATACCCGTTAAGGCTTAATGATGCAGCCTTTATTCATAATGTTGAAGACTAAAAATCGTGTATTACTTTAAAATCAGATGAAATGTAAGGATATTTAACGTATTTAAACTGAACAATTGATAATAATTTACTTTACACTTTAATTCGACTAAGATTGGAATGAGACAAATTTGTTAATAAATAGGTAACATATAAACATATATAATATATATGTAAAATAGTTTATTATAAAGGTAAAACACTTTACGATGTTTGTCTTATTATCGGGCTTCGTGTTTGCTCTCTTTTTTGATTGATAAGACGTTATTATTTCGTCCTTATCCCTTTCAATATTATGACATAACTTGTAATCAATTATGAGGAAATTTATCATGAATATATGCAATAATTGAAATATTACTGAAAGGTGCAAAACTGAAGATGGTTATCATCTATCAAAAAATAAGACATTAACATATTTATAATCCACAATCAAACGATTCGCCAAATTCACTGTATCTTGAGTCTTGTTTTTGTAAACGTTCCTGACAAGCCTCCAAATAACTGTCTTGTATACGATACATGCCTAAACAAGTATAATTTATAATATATGATTAATGTAATTATTTGTGGAAATTGATCATACCTGAGTTCGCTTGATACATTAAAGTCTCTAATATTCTTTCATTCTTTATAGCTTTAGACGGTAAGACTATTTTTATTAATTCTTGAGGTGAAATTCTATGAAGTTTTAAATCTCGCGCTAAGCGTTCCATAATACATCGAAATTCTACTTTGGCATCTGTTTTGGCAGATACTTTGGATTTTACCTTAAAATAATTTTTGAGACAGAAATTAATCACTTGAAAAATTTGGGTAGAAGCTTCATAATCAATCAATCAAAAAAGTCTAAAACTGATATATTAATGTAATAATTTTTCGTCCATCAATAATGAACCTGATACATAGGATAATTTATAAACAAAAAGAATACCTTATGTTTGGCCCATGATAACATAGCTTCGAATTTCCGAACTTCTGGTATCTCTAAATTTCTAGACATTATCATTTGCACCATACTTTCACTTAAGTTTAGAAAATCTGGAGTTAGAAATAAAGCATATGCCCTCGTTTCTACAAAAGCTGTAATGCATAGATAATATTATAAGAATTATGTTTAAAAAAATTTAATCTTAAATCTGCTTACCTAAAATCATATTAACAAGTTCAGATGCTGATGTATATCTCCAATAATAATTCTCTAAGGATATTAACATGGAACAAATAATATCAATCCTGAGAAATTGTTTTGCATGGTGAAAACATGCTTGCAATAACTCTGGTAAATCATAATGCTCGGCTGCACATATAAGTCCAGGTATCGTTTGACATGTTAAAGGACAGCTTCCCGTATGTAAATAATCTAAGAGTACTCTAAATGTGTCTGGATCAAATTCGATAATAGTAAATTCCGTTTGTGCAAGTTTCGCTCTGTCAACTTTCTGAGCGTCAGCACATACTGATAATCCTATAAGAATTAACATGCATAAGAACTCTAAAGTCATAGAAATAGGTTAACATTTTGCTTACGAGGCACTGCTGCGGATTTATCCTTTGAAGAACGATCTTTGTTGTCTTTATCTGAACAATCTTGTGACGATGCCCACTTCTTTTTATCCTCTACATTCAGCTGAGATTGTTGCTTTGACCTAATTCGTGAACCCCAACTTGATGTAATATTCCCTAAACGTGAGAAGGCGCGTTTTACCATTGGTGAAGAAGGAACGGATTTCGGACGAGATTCAATGTCAGGAACTTGAAGAAAATTTGAACTTTTTGGGCGTTGGTTTTGAGGTGACAGTAAAGTTGGTGCTGGTCTTGCTAATAATTCGGCGACAGGAACTTGAGGTGATCCTCCAAAGCCAGTTTGTATTCCATAAAGCATTTCCTATTTTCCAAATCCATATTATTACTATTGGATACACTTCAGGGTAAATTAATATGTTTACTAACTTGAAACACTCTTGATCGAACTCCCAGTATAGCTCTAACACCAATAAATCGTGCTTTCTGCTTTGTCTGCCCAACGAGAAAGACAACATCGAACAAATGTGCGTTTTGTAAACAAGAGGGCTCTGTATTTAAGAATACGCGTGTAAAATCTTTTGCTAATTGATCATAGTCTGAAATAAATTTAAGAGTGTTAAAAAGAAAAATCGAAAATGAAGTAGAAATAATTCTACTGTAAAAAAATACCTTCAAATTGGTCACGAACAGAATCCAATAATGGTGAAGACGGTCTCATATGTCCTATTGGTCGCCAACTACCACGTCTATAAGGCTTTGGTATTTGTCCTGTTTCAGCATGATTTGCTAAATTAGCAACGATATCTTCTAGCATTTGTGATCTTGTTCGTTCTTGCATTCGAGCAAATTTTGGAGCTGAATATGAAGCCCTTTCACCATTAACAATTTTCGTAAGAAGCCATTCGCTTTAGTATATAAGAGACTTTGCATTAAAACAAATTTTATGATAAGTCTATTGAAAATTTACCGAAACATCGATCCCTTTTCAAATACAGATTGTTCCCATAAATATGGCTTGTAAGCTCCAACTTCATCTCTTGTTACTACAGAAACTTCGTATCGTGTAGGCTTACGCTTAATTCTTGCGGACACTCTCACCTTTATAAAAAAAAAAATAAAGATATTTACATAACCGGGATACCATTAATTTTTGAATTGTCTTCATACCAAAATGAACGTGTGTAAGAAATGACTTTTAATACATGCTGGACTAAATGCTGTATTATCAGCCTCTAAAAACACAACGCATACTATATCATTTCCAATATGTCTTTTTCTTTGCAATTTTTGCGGGTCGTGCTTTTCATATGGAAGTTGTGTGCTCACATGAAACATTATTTCAATATTTCGCCAATTCGTATAAACGGAATAAAGACCAGTTAGATCATGGACAGTATCTGTTGACAAAATTGTTAAAAGTCAAAACTACATATTTTGGGGTTACTTTTGTTTAACATACCAAGACCCCCTTTGTATTTATCAAACCCTCGCAACCTCACTTTATCTCCTAACAGTTGCAGAAATTCTTCAAACATTGGTGAATTTTCATTATTGTCTAAAATTTGTTCTTCTGTGAATTGACCCTGTTAACAAATCAGTTCAATTAATCACAAAATAATGTAGATGATTAACACAAACTTACTTCTTTTACATAGATAACACCAACTTTCAGTTCAGATTTTATAAAAACTTGATCCAATTTTAACAATTCTTCAGGTGTGTCGGGAAGTTGACCAAGTGTCAAAGGTGGATTTAAGTTTACTTCCTTTCCTAGAGAACTAACAACCTCTTCTCGATTGTATCTTTTAATGATAATAAATGATTAATTTTATGAAATTAATTTCCAACAAAATTGAAGTGCAAAGATGTTGGAAGATTGAAAAAAGGAAATATTTTTTTAAAGCCTACCTATTAGCGAAAACACTTGATGCCGGAATTAAACCATGCACTGTATAAGAAATGGCTCTGACTAATATTCTAAATTGATCACGTCCGTTCAATGTTTCCTGTTTTATTGATAATATTACTGGACCCAAATCTTCATCGTTTGTAAAATAGTTCCAATGTTCAGATCCATAAAAATATTTCTCATATGTTTCCTGCTCAACTGATGTTAGTTCAAAACTTTGCTGTTGTTCCCACTGTTCTTCTATTGTGGTTTTCTTTCGAGGAACTGTATCGGAATCTTCATCATCTTCATATAAATCGTTATAATTGCGATCATGTATATCGACGCTGCATCCCGCCCGCTGCTCATCATCATGCTCTGACTCACTGTCATCCCAAACATGTTGATTAATTTGTGCAATCTTTTGTCTTGAACACTCAATCCAATAGCCAGGAGTTGGTATTAACGCATGGGGATATTCCTCACAAAATTCATCTGTATTTGAAAGATTTAATGAAGAAATTTAATTAATTCATTTAGGTGTTATTATCAATCAAGTATTTCATCCAATTATCCAAATTTCCATTCATCACGTACTCGTGAATACATTGATAGCACATTTTCCGTCTTTGAAACTTTAAACAAAGCGAAGAAAATTATAGAATTGTTTTTACAAAAAAAGACTGACACTAGCAATTAGTGGCTAGATTCTTAGTAAACCTCATTTAAGTATTCATTAAGTCACAGTTCCTTTGCTATTAAAATTTCGACAAAGCAAAGTCAACACAGATTTTTCATGAGAATTAAAATGTATTGCACAACTTTTTTTGATCCTACTATATCGGTCTTATCATCACAGTAGGGTATAAAAGATAAAGCTTGGGAAATTACAGTAAATTATTAAAAATGCTTTCACATCTTCCATTGTAATTTTTTTCTCACAAAGCCTCTACTGTCATAATAAGCTTAGATTATGAATTTTTATTGAATTTGGTCTAGATTCCTTTTTTTTCTTCATAAACTTCAAACATCCAACCAATTGATTTCTTCTATAAACAAGTTAACGATTATATCTTTTTTACGCCTTTATAGATTTACAATTAATGCTGTTGAATTTGAACGTAAACTGTCATAATATTAAAGAACGTTAAGATGATCTCATCATTTTTGTCTATTAACTTTATTTAATTAAAATTTGATGAAGTTCCGCATCATTGCTCACTGTAAGGCAAACACCAAGCTGTATATTAATTTTAAACGCTTGTTGTGAATCTTACAGCCAGTAATAATTCGAATATTTCCTTCACTTGGGTTTTATCACTCTTGGCTGCTCCACTTGTAGAATATTATTATATTTATATTATATTGCGAATTTTCCGCACATAAACTTTCATGTTGAAACAATTTCTGCACTTCAAGTGTCCAACAATAATAATTATATTAATGATAATCAATTCCAGAAATTATTATCCATAAAATGAATAAATTTTTAACTTTAAAGATATTCATTGAGAATAATAATGAGGAACTATGCATGATAGCTTTCTTCAATACATACTGATGACTCATGAGCCATTAGATGAAAAATGTGCTTAACATTCCTTCTCATCTATGGAGTCGTTTATAAAATACGTCAATCTCAAATAAGTTGTATTTTTTTGGCACCACTTTAAACTTAATTATAAAAATTTTAAAACAACACACAGCTTCCGAACAACTTTTTCAATCCCCAAATGTGTGACGTAACTATTTACCGACCCCCTATAACATAAAAAATATTAAACTTACCAGAACAGCCTTGTGATGGCAATGGGAATATTAAGGTTGTAGAGCTTTTACGTCGAGCTACTATTGACCCAAGTGATTGTGGCTTAAAGCTTCGCAACTGTTGCATGAAATCTGAGCATTCCATTAATGCTACATCTAATACAATAAATTATGAATAAAAAGGAAGAGACGAAGAAAAAGAAGAAAGGAGGAGGAAAATTCAAATTTATTACGAATTAAATTGAATAAGCATATTTTATGAATAATATTCAAACCTGCAAAATGTAAATCACATAAAATTTGATTTTTGAATCGTCTTGCTCGTTTTTGATTCACACCAGTGAGATTGACAGCACAAGCATTGCATCTCAAGCATTCCTCATGATACATATTATTATCATAGAGAAGGGATTGTTCTATGAATGAAACATTAAAGAATTCCATTATTAACCTTTTCATATATTTACTCGAATCACTCGAAGAATAATCAAAAAAAAAATTGAAAGAAAATAAACTCTCTTTTCAACAATGACAAAAAAAAAGAGAGAATTGGAAAAACAAAGCATTACATATGCAATACTTGTTGCTTTTTTATGACCAATTCCTTCGTACTGACCAAATTACATTTTGAGAGATTTTCCTCAACGCAAATATTGTTTTAAGACAATCAAGGAAAGATGATTTTTTTTTAATGTAGATAAACAGCATAATTGCTCATACACATATATTCATTGTATTCTGTAATATACATTAAACTCATCTTTCCCAATTTTCCACTCTCTCAAAATTAAACATGGAAACTTGATATTTTTTTCTTGTTTGAAGAAAAAAAAAATATGAAAAAAGTGAAAATCTATAGAGAATTATTTTCTTCTTCAGATAGCTTTTGCCATTTCTTTCTTGTAATGAATGATTCTTTTACTTTTTAAACTTCTTGTTCGTAAAGTGTTTCTTGGACTGTTGTGATAAACAGACCGAAACTGGAACCTACGGCGTGAATCCACTTTTTTATTAATACACTTTGGTTGTAATCAACAGTTAAAATTAATTTTTTACTAAAAACGATATTTAAATCCTGAATACTTTCACTCATATTATTTATCTATTAAGCCCATCTTGATAAAGTCGCAAAATTATACTTATTTTCTCTTATAAAATAAACCAGCATAATTTTTTCTCTTTTTTTATCCAACTTAATTCTTAGTAACTTTCTTTATCAACATTACAGTAAGGAGTGTATAACTCAACTGAGAGAAGTGAATTAAGACTGATAGAAGAGTGAATGAATTGATAGCACCATACCTTTCCATTTTTTGGAAGTGTGGAAAACATGCATAGTAAATATGTATTGGAAAGATGATTTTCAACTCGGGGTGGATTTCTTCACACCACCACACTGGAAAGCTACTCTTTCCAGTCTTGTTTAGTAATTATTATCAATTTGGGAAATGCTGTAGTATCAATAAATGTAATATGAGAATATTTTTCACATCCATATACCCAACATGCTATAGAATGTATGATATCTTTGCAAAACAAATATGAGCATACACACAACTTCTTCCCTCAACATCATAAGCAATGATGTTATTAATGATATTGCTTTTAAATGAAATTATGCGTTCACATACCGACTTTAGTTTTATATTTTGTAGTATTGCAATTGAATTTATGCGTACGACAGACGTGCCAATTTTATGTCAAATTAAACAACTTTAATTTAATTCCATTTTTAGTATTTATTCAAATAACTCACAATTTCAATTATTAATCCTTTATACCTAGTCATGATTCTAATCTTTTACTTTCAATTGATTTTAATTGCATAAATTCAATTGTTCAGAAATCGTGCCTTTTATCTTTCTGTTTCCCTTCCTATTTCTTCATTGCGATTACTTTTAAAAATTCTATGTTTGCCTATCCTAGCTTTTATATTGTAGTATCAACAAAACATTTTAATGTTCTTGGAATCAAGCATTGAATGTTGATATTGATCAGAACGCAGCCAAAGAAGAACTTTCTTTTATCAAAAAAATAGTATACGATGATTTTTGGATTTCTAAGCGTACATATAATGTTAAGGTATTATGAAAATGTTATTAAATGGAATGAAACCATCGGAATTGAGTTATAGAGACTAAAAGTAATGCAATATTAATGGTTAGGAGTTTATAATTGTGTAAATTGTGTCCAATGGATAGAGAAATAAAAAATAAATCAAAATATTTTATTCAGGTGTATTGGAATCAATATGATCTTTTTAGATACTTTAACACAAATATAATGTTAGGTTATGTCAATTATATCCAATGTTAAATGACATGTTTAAATGCTAATTTAATAAAATTTTCAATTTGAGCATAGTAATAGTAATTAAATGCTATCGATTACCTGTTTGGGTAGAGGAATCAAAAAATGTGCTGGTCGTTTCAACTGTTAAATATAAAATATGCAAAGTGTAAAATTAGTTAAAGTCATTCAAGTTTTGAATTAAATCAAAAAGTTAAACATAAGTGAAATCGTATACGAATTGTATTCATTTTCGGTATTAACAAAGAGAACTGTCAATTATAAATGAATTAAAATTCATGCTTCCGTTTTCATTGTGGAATGATATAATTTTCCCTAATATCATTAATATTTAATGGTGGTCAGCAGACAACCTTTTAAAAACTCTAGTTATGTATTTACTCAACTTATGCAGTATGAGTCAATCAACTAATTTAAAAAAAATCATACCACTAATTTACAGAAAAATTAATAGAAATATGTTAATTCTTACTAGTCATTGTTCCTATGGTACCATCAATAATTTGTGCACATGAATCTGTAAAGAATTGCATCAGTGAATTCGATCATGTTGTATGATTTTTATACCATTTATGGCTTACACAAATTCTTACCTCTTCTACCTCTGTATCTGGAGTTAAAATAAAGTTTTTGCTTTAGTTTATTTATGAAGTTTAATTTTTTTACACAGATCATGCATTAATCTCAATTTTCAAGGATTTCTACAAATTTTTATTATCATACCTTTGACAAGTGTCATCAGATTGAGAACTTTGTCTTCGAAAATTACGACAACGAATCATTTCTTCTGTCGTACTTTGTCTTCTAAAACCTCTTGCGATCAATATTTCTTCGGTTGTGCTTGATTGTCTTCTAATTGCTTGCGGTCGGGGTGTACATTCAATTGGTTGATTTGGCAGCCTTCCTGGACTTGGATCTCTACAATTGGAATGAACAGTTTATATGTTGTTAAAATAAATTATCACATTTGTGCACCTTGAACTACAACAGCTACTATCAGGTGATCTTGATGTTCTGGGTGCTGAGGATGATTGTCTTCGCAATTTGCTTCTTCGTCTAGGACTATTATCTCGTTCATTATTTCTGTCAGGAGACAGATGAGATCTAGAATCACGTCTGCTTCTGTGATATTCAATAACAAATAAGTAAAAGCAGCTTGGAAAGTTCGTGTGCATTTTTCATAAAAATAAATACTCAATAACGATTAAATCAAAATTAAAGCACATAAACAATCTACTGACTATACGATACCAAAAGAAAATTAAGTAAAGCCAATATAAAACATTTATCATATTAAATGCAAGAACTATAAAAAATTGAACATGAAAAATGCACTTAATAGCTATAATAAACAAGCAAAATTACTTTGATGTGTTAATATCGGGACTTAAGCTATCTCGTCTTGCTTGTCTTTCACATAAATTAATACTTTCAGTCGGCACAGCATCACCACTTGGACTAAGAGATGTTTGTTGTGATTGAGATCCGCGTCGAGACCATGGCGTACACGATTCATCGTAAGCAGTGGCTTGCCGTTGGAGTCTTGACTCACGACGATTTATTCTGCATTGCGTTGTAGAGTCTCTTCTGCCAGACTTAACGATTTCATATTTTGGACTAGTGGGACTTACAGTGCTAGTTATTATGGTGGGCATAAGGATTGATTGTGATGATGAATCGACTTGAGTGGGAGCAAAAAGAGGACCTGATTCTGCTGAACTTGTTGATGGTCTTTGTTCCTGTCTAAAATTTGGGATTTCGGGAGCAGCTAATGAATCTCTACGTTTTTTCTGCACAGCCACTACCTTTGGAGGTGGAACAACAAGTGAATCTCGTCTTACTGCTTTGTAACTCGAATCACCTGAACCTCTCCTAGATCCGTTTCGAACTGAGGTTTCTGGTGCAGAAATTATTGGAACTTCTGGTACATCTTTTTCACTCGTGATGTCGCGCTTGTTCCATCCTTTTGTAAAATCGGGTGTATGTGAATCTCTTCTTGATCTCATGCTTTTAATCCCAGAATCTGCACTTGATTCACGCCTCTTTCGAGGAACATTGCTAGGAGTATATTGCTCATTGCTTACACGGTGCCATGGTAAACTTCTTGCTAGGTCAGCTAAAGTTTCACGACGATTCAATGGTGGCTTCTGATTTCTTTTCGAGCCTCCACTCCACTCTCTTAAAATATCAGTTAATTGAGCTAAAGAACTTCTTCGTCTATTACGATTAGGGGGTGGTGAAGTGGATGGGGGTGAAGCACCGGAAATTTGAGCTGCAGAATCTCTCCTTCCTCCTAATCGTTGGCGTATTGTCGATTCACATTCCTAGAATTTAAAGAAATAATACTCAAATGTACATCACTGTTCAAATATGTATATCGGTAACTATTGCGACTCACTTGTTCTCTCATTAAATCATCCCAACCGTTTCCTCCACTCCAAACTTAATGAAATAGAAATAAGATTTTAATATATTTATTTTCGATTGAATTATAATTAAAGATTCAATTAATCCTCAAAATGTTAATGGAATGGAAAGTCTGAAGTTTGTTAAAAAACAAAAACTCACCTAAACCAACTTGATGACTCAAAATAGGTAAGTTGCAAACGAAACATATTGCAGTCATAGTCCTGAAAATGATTAAAAAGCATTGTTTTTTACCATTAATGAACCAAGATGATAAAGCATAAAAAAATAACAGTGAAGCAAAAAAGCTTTTATATTTTCTCATTAAGTGTAATTTTTTTCTCTAAAATGTGGCTTTTAATATACTTTTGATGAAAAGCAGGCATGCATAAAAATGCTTATGATTAACATATTTCCGAGCGTTTCAATCACTATGATTTTATTTCAATTAAAATATCAACAAAAAATCAACTGAAGAAGTGCAGTGATAGTGCTTTATAGTACCGATTAAACCCATTTTTGCGGTAATGGTTAAATGCGGGGGCTGTAAGAACAACCTACGACAAGAATAAAAGGTCAATTTATATTTGTATGAATGGTAATAAAATTTTCATTTTTGGCAAAATTATTTCTCATAATTCGGTTTAAAGTTAAAAGCTAGCTGTTGTCGAATTTATAAAAGTCAAAATATTACTCAAATGCCAGGTCAATGATCAAATCAAATGTGAAAGGTATTTTCTTACAATTTTCCTTTAAGCTGGAAAACTTCAATTGGATATTTTGCAAAGACTGATATATTGCCCCGAAGAGTAAAAAAAGAAAAGAAATGGGAGTCTCTTCTTACAAACAAAATCATCTATAGATTGTACATGAACATCCCTCAGGCATGCCAACGTACAGTCTATTTTCCTTTTGTTTTTGTAAGGTATATTGCTTTTAGTTCATAAATTCTTTTTGTTGTTCGGCATGAAGTGACTAGTATCTAAATTGCTGCCAATCAATAATCAGAAGAAATACTATTTCTTTTAGGAATGTGTTAAGTAATGATCCAATAACCCGCAAGAATGTTTTGCCTTACAAAAATGGGTGCAGAATATTTTATCTATGTAAATCTAGATGCTGCTATGTGATTAAAATGTGAAAAAATGATGAGCATGCATTAATAATGCATTTTGAATAATAATGTTTTACTTTATTAACATGTTCATTTTGAGATTAAAGCAGTTAATGATTATTTTAATTGGTTATAGATTATTTTATTATGTAATGAAGTGCAATAAACTGCATAAAATCAAAGAGTTCATAAAAATTAAGATATAAGCGCATTTTCCTTCAAATTCAACAATTATACTATAAATGATGTTAATTCATATTTAATTTGATTTAAATCTTCTTTTTTTCCTATTATAACACAACAAGCAAGGCTCCCGCAGATTATAATCTTTATTAATCTTCATACAAAGATTATAATCTTCGTTTTTAAAAGATTATAATCTGCGGGAGCCTTGACAAGAAGTAAACTTATTTCATACGGTTTCATACCTTATTGCCTATTTAAAATTATTTTGAAAATGCGCTTAAATTGTTAGACTTTTTAAAGATATTAAAATTAGTAATTATTGTTCTCAATTATACAATTTTTTTAATTTCTAATGATATTGAGAAAAATAATATTTTATAAAGACAAACTCGTGTAATGTAAGCAAAAATCATATCCTAATTAATTATTGTTTTTCAGAAATATTTCGGAAATTAAAAAGTCTTGGCTCACTCGAGGTAGAAAAGCTTCCCGAATGGAACAATACAATTGTTACACCACGCAGACTATTCCTGACTAAACCATAATTTGAGCTATGGGTTGTTTGAATAGAACCAAGACAAGTTTTGTTTCCAAATATTTCTTATTATTCCTGAGTTAAATGTAAATTCACTTGACCTGTAATGTCGCATGTTTGACATGATTCATATTTACAGTGTAGTTTTTCCACGCACCATGAGTCTGATGTAGTATATTTAATAATTATATAATATGACAGTTAATTTTACTTCATCTATTTGACATAGTCATTTTTACTGTAAAAAATTTATGTTTTGATCTTGTTTTGCTACTGGAAAGATTTTTTTTTAATTTATATAGGACCTGAAGGGAATAAAATAAAAAGAACAAACGGAAAGCATTATGTAGGTTTTATGTAATAACTTGTAAAATGAAAGATTATTCTTGAACTGAATGATAGTCTTACTTATAAGTAAGTACTTACAAATTTTGTGAAATAATAAAACATAAAATGATTTAAGTTACAATTTGAGCATGACCTATTTATTCATGGAAATAATGGAAATTTCATTAAATCACTTGACGAAACCCGACGAAACAAATAATTGCATACAAAAATTTTCATCATTCATCAGGACCAATATTTTTAAAGCATAAAACTCTTTTGTCCTTGTTATAAAACAATAGAACCTCATCATTTATAATGGAAAATATCTAGAAATGGAAGGGTTAATATCCCATTTATCATAAAAATTTATGCACACATAAACACACACACATGATGTGTGAAAGTAAAACTTTATTTTCATGTATCCCAGAAAACATTACACAATCAGATGAGATTTGTGCTTGATATTATCTGACGAAAATCCTGTTTATAATTTTATTTGCATATAAAAATCTCTTGAATATTAATTTAAGAATCAACATTGATGGTGTAATTTCAAATAATAAAATAAAGTCAAGGTTGTCGAAGATGCTTCGTGATTCTAAATGGTTTTTTGATAGTCTAGGATTTCAAAAATATGTTATTACAATAGAACGCATCAAAAATCTGTACAGATATTGATAAAAAATTGTTTACAATCTATGAAGGCATTAGGCAGTGGTGAAGGAAATGTGATTATTTTTTATAGTCTGGTAAAAAATGCACACAATAGCGTCTGCATTTTTGTGGCTTTTTATACAAAATTTCATTACCGCGATCTTAGTTGCCTATTCCCCTTGCTACACTACTGAATCAAGGCACCATTCTCTTAAATTAGAACGAAAAGCTGTCGAAGGACTCTTACTTTTATAAATAAAAATCTATCGTGACTCGTTATTGCGTTGCTTTTATCTCATGGGATTAATTTGCTTCTTAAATTATTTTGTTTCAATTTATTGATTGCATCCTTTCAGTTTTACTTTTTCTCTCTTTAAAAATTCTAATTGTAACCTGTTCAAATAGAATAAAATAAAAAAAAAGTAAAAGGAATCCTAGATTGTGATGTGCTTTAAAAATAAATTAGAGGCTAAACATAAATTTGACCCTCGAAAACCTGCCAATTTGCCCTCGTCTACATTCGGTTTTTTGACATCTCTTCAGCAGCATACAAATCAATTTTCAGCTCAAAATTGCTAGGTGAATTCTTTTTTTCCTGGGGATTGATTTTGAAAGTGCATACATCTTATAATGGAATTGATTTCGAAACAACTATTCGGGATGTATTCATTTCAATAATGAAAGTTTGAGATTTGAATTTTTTTTATAAACGACCTTTTTTGGGGTAGAAGACTGTCTTAATGATAATTTGGCTCATAAATTATGTATAAATAGAGATTAAAAAAATCACTTGTTGCACGATAACTTACACGTTTTTTGAATTATATTTTCTTTTATATTCGGGGATTTTGCGCTCCTCAAAGCAATCTCTACTGATACAGTGAGCATGAGCAGCAACATTTTCTCTCTCTCAAATATTAATAAGGAAAGAGACAAATGTTGATGGTGGGGAGCGTTTTATTATTAAAAAGCTATGATTACAGAAAATTTATTTCAGCATCATGTTAATCTTCGGGAATATAAGGTTTTATTCTCAACAGTTATTGCTTCAAGTATAAAATTTGGGTATAAATAATAATTCTCTTGAATTTTTACGATTTTTTTTTGTAATACCTTTCTTGTGTCTTATTGTGTAGAACAATTAAGAATTTTCATTATGTCTGAATATTTTTTAAAGAATTTTTTGCAATTTATCAAAAAATTTAATATCTGTAATAACATTTTTTATGCATTTAATGGCTTCTCTTTGACTCTACCAATCTAATTCAATCACAGCGTAAACTAAAATGATAAAAAACTGTCATGAAATATTTATGGCATCCTTAAAACGTACACCAGATACCTGCTTCTTGTGAACTAATTGAATAATTAATATGACAGATCATTTGAATTTAGGAACAAAGTTGTTGATGATTTTACAACCTTAAATTAAGTTTTTATTTGAATTCGTTCACTGTTCACATTTGCCAAATTGCATTTTTATTATCCCCGAGGGTAAAATTTGAACAATTTTTTTTTTATTACAAATAAAACAATTTGAAGAATCTTTTTTTGATTGCAGCATATAACATGTACGTTGAAAAAATCTCGTATGTGAATCTATTAATATTAAAGCAACAAGTGTTTTTTTTTTTCTTCTAAATTCCACACATAATAATCTAATGTTTCAGTTCTATGAAATTCATTGCAAATTAAAATTTTATCTAATACTGTAGGAACATAAAAGTATTAGGTATGTCATTAATTAAATTACTCTAATTTTCTTTGACGATTTTCATCTCCCACTGAAAAATTTTCGCTTCGTTTGAAGAAAAACGTGAAGAAGAGATAAAGTCATATACCAAGACAATTCTAAAAGTATAAATGAGCTTTATTGAGTCTGAGAGATTATAGCATCCTTTGAAACACACGACAGCATTGATAGTAGAGAGAAAAGCGTTGATGGAAAAGAAAATTGGAACGGTAAATAACAATTTCCGCTAACGGTGACGGAGAATATAATTATTTTGAATTGTTTAACCAAATTGAGCAAAGGAAAGAAAACACAGTCCTTAACCTCAGGGGTTTTATGACATGAAAATGTGTTTGAATAGTGATTCCTTTTTTTTCTGTGTGTTTAGAGTGAAACTCTACACAATTTATAATATACAATGAAATGTTTAGCTTGAAAATTAAATTAAATATAAAAGAGTATTCAATTCAAAACCTCGTTTATGTATCTATTTATGCTTAACTTATTTTCTGACATTTTTGTAGTGAACTCACTTACAAAACCACACATCTCTTATACACACATATACACGCAAAATGTGATTACACTGAAGTAGAAGCCAAATAATGATTTCATGTGTGGGAGACGGATAATGTGAAAAAAAAAAATACAGATGAAAGTTTTTCGTACATGAAAATGGAATTGATCCTTTTGCTCCTCATTTTCTCTACGTTAGTAAAAAATTCAAAATTCATCATTATTATTAATTTAATATATTGTGCTTAAATACGCATAGCATTGGTAACCCAGACAACGATTACAATTTTTTATTTATGTTTAAATAAATGATGATATGGAGCTATACTTCCCAATTTTTCTTTCAACTTCCAAAAATATAGCACTTAAGGGATTTTACGCTATAGAAGTCTTAATATGAAAAAAGAAAAAGTAAACTGTTAAAAAAATGACACTTTATAATAAATTTTTCTTCCCTTCTTATAAAGCTTGAAGCCAAAAATAAATACCTTATCAATTTAACTGACTTTAAGTACTTTTGTACTTAAAATAAAATGAGAAACTTAGTTAAAACATTGTGCAAACTTTCCAATTTTCATGATTCTCTTTTTTTGTGATTGCTCCTTGTCTTGTCTTGATTATATTTAGCTTGTGATAAAACAGAAGTTCTAATGATATATCTGTTATTTGTTAAAAGTTCAGACACTTTTCCAACGAACTATATAAAAAAAAAGTTGGATTCACAAAATTACTTTGCATACTTTCATATAAATTCTCGGGTATTTAAAAGCCAGTTTGAAGTTGAAGAAGAACAGAAGCACAAGTTATTATCAAAGAAATTTTATGATAAATTTTTGGCCAGATTTCCTTAATTGCCGTAATATTATTTTTTTTACCTGGATTTTAAGTTCTAAAACGAGGTTAAAACATTCAAGTTCATATTGAAAAATATTTCTTCAAAAAAGGGTAAATAATAATTCATTGAAAAGAATATTAAAAAAGTTAAAAAGGAACGTGGTTGACTTTCAAATTCCAAGTGTTCTTTCGGCTGTACTTTTGTAAATAATATCAATATTATTTCAGAATTCTCAAAGACTCTTGAAACATAAAGATTTTGTCGGAGAGTTTCAACGTGAGTGCTTTTTACTAAAAAAGTCATGTAAAAATTTCCATCGTAAAGGACTGGGGGAGTTTTCGTTTCTGTTGCTTTTTCTTTAATTTTGGAAAAGTATAAAGTATTATTAAATAAGAAGATTTCTCATTTTTGTACTTAAACAAATGGATGCAAAAATTTTTTTTGGGAGGCTTTGACAATTTTCCTAAAGTCACCTCATAGTTGAGGCACTCGAAAAAGGTTAGAGACAACCTTTAGAGATGTATCTTCAAAAAAAAAAACAAAGTGTATACAAATGTACAAAAAAGCAAACCCCATTTTTAAAAGAATTTTTTATTCAGTGGATGATCAAAGGAAGAGTGTCTTGTGTTTTATATTTGTTTGGGTCTGTGCATGACAGAGAGAATCCCAACATCATTGCGAACAAGTTTTCTCAAATGGAAAAAAGAGTGAATAAAGCTTTTTGAGAGTGATTAATTTTACTACTGAAAGATGGTACTTTAATAGTTTTATGGATGACTAAACATTGTTATACACACATTATCATTGATTAAGTTCGCTTCAAAATTTCCATTTAAAATTTATCATTTCAAATAGCACTAATAAGCATATTTATGAATAACAATTTCAATGTGCAATATGAAATCTGTAATCTTTTTTAATGTTTCGAGCTGTGTGTACCTAGAATTTATTGATTTTTTTTCTTAATTTTCTTGCTTTTTCAGCAAAACATGAAAAATTGCTTTAGCAAACAAGGCAATGGGTTCTGTATTGGAGAGTGTTGATATGTCTAGTATGATATAACTTAGAGAATTTTTATAT